TCATTTTTTGGCTAACCTACATAGAAAATGACAGTGAACACAATAATAAAAAAATTACATTAAACGAGAATCGGGAAGGGACTCATCAGAGGAATTTTAGAGTTTTGGTCATAGTAGTTCTACAGGCTTTGCCCCCGATTTTCGGCTCACCTGCGGTCCCTCTTGCTCCGATTTAGCCGCATGAGTGCTCAGAATTGAATTCCAAGTGGGTAGAGAGAATTTTTACCTTTTCTGGCGACCGGTGGTAGCTCTAGTACACAACGGTCAGCGGACTGTCTCCTTCTTTGGTGTCTGGTTCTTCTTCTCCGGCAGGGCTTGGCGGCTAGGGTTTAGGTTCCCGTGTGACGCGAAATATTTATTAAATATCCATCTTGCGTCGATCTGGGCCGTTCATCGCGATTGATCTTGTCCGTTCGATCGCGCTTAAGGAGAAAACGAATATGAACCGTCCATCGCGATTGATCTTAGTCGTCCGATCGAACCAAATGAAAAAATAAATCCAGGTCATCCACGAGCGCGGGATCGCTCCTAGGCCATTCGATCGTAGAGCACGTGGATCGTGTAACGACTCCAGAAATTTAAATGAAGATGTATGTATTAAAAGTTCTAAAATGTAGAAGCATAATAAAAAATTTGATTAACATAACTTACACAATAACCAAAAACGTACTCAAAACATGAAAGAATAAGCTAATTAAAAGATATACTTGAAATAAAAACTATAAATAGAATTATAAAATCTTTAGGCGTCTAACTCGCCATCTTCCTACATAATGGGGTTGGGAACCCTGTCTTCCTGGTATGAAATGGTTAAGTAAGGAATGAGCTACACTAGCCCGGTAAAGACATCACACTATCTCACTACCACAGGAATAAAGGTCGGTAGATAACAAAAACAACCAATGGAGCATAATTTATAACAAACTCATTTATTAACATAAAAATTTTTACTGTCCACTTACCTCGGTGAGATTCATGAAAATAATATATGAAAACAATAACATTATAACCATCATAAAATCATATCAACTTTGTAACAGAACACATGTCATACTTTTGCACTTCAATAATCAGACAATAATTTCCTCTTTTACCAGCCTACTAGTATCCATGAGGATCCATAGGGGGTCCCCGCTACACGTGAACAATTAACATTAATAACCTAATTCCAAGGCCGTCCCCATACCCCGTTCGGTATAATATGCAAACATGTAAACCAGTAATTGACACCAAACAAGACAACACAATATCGGATTCACCATAATACCAACCATACTAAAAAAAATCATGATTCATGAATACAAGACCATAAAATAATTACATCAAATATCATACTGCACTTAATACTGAAAAATAGATCAAACAACAACTGACCAATAATGTATCAGATTCGGGCTCCATTGCCAACCTCAATCAATTATACATATCTATAAAGTCACAAAATGCTGTTTAATTATTTATTAAGCTTTAATGTCGTGATGGGAGGTAGGGTGAGAGATCCTTACTTGTTTCGGGATCTGAAATCGGCTTTACGGTGTGCCTATGGGCTGTCCCTAAATTTCTTGAATTTTTTTCGGGAAACTGAAATGCCCTACCGGTACCTGTACGTGTTCCAAAAAATCCCAAATCAGACCTAGGACCCCTTTCGGCCAATATTAGAATTCCGGCACGGCGGCTCTGCCGTGCTCCGGCGATGGCGCCGCCGCTTGTGGCGGTGATCCGCCTCGGGTTGGCCGTTTTTGGCCGAATTCGGCCAAACTTGCATTGGTCCCTGCGATAAAACAACCTTAGGGCCCTCGGTGGGCCAAAAAATCATGAAAAATCGAGACTTACCGGCGGCGGTGCTCTCGGGTGCGACGACTTCTCCAGGGCGAGTCGCGTTTTGATGTTTTACTCCGGTCAACCTGTAGAGAAAAGAACAGTGATCACAGTGGCATAAAAATTGCATCGAACGGAGGCCGGGAAGGGCCTCGTCGGAGGCAAAAATAGAGGGAAGCCGTGGCGGCGCCGCTGGACTTCGGCAGGGTTTTCCAACTGATTGGCCAGTGGTTTGGCTCCGGTTTGGCCCTAGGCGGATTCAGCATCAAAAAACGAGCCAAATGGAGAAAATTTACCTCGATTGGTGGTCAGAAAATTCTCCGGTGCGGCGGTGACCGGCTCATCCGGCGTCTGGTTCTTCTTCTCCGGCGAGGCACTGGTGGCTAGGGTTTATGGTCGGGTGTGGGTGGGGTTATTTATACCCTTCCCCTTTTAATCTCAACCGTCCATCAATATTTAATCTGAACCGTCCGATTGCGATTTATTTGAGATTAAATATGGGCCGTCCATCGCGATGCAATCTGGACCGTCCGTACCTGATTGAATCTGGGTCGTCTGTACGTATGAGATCTGGGCCGTCCGATCGCGCGCACGCGGATCGCCCACGTGGCCCGTCCCGTGTCAGCGTTCCTTGCCACGCGACGTGTCCTAGTTGGCCGGGGCTGCTGACGTAGTATAACTTTTTTAAATTATATTTTGACCCTCGGTTTCTGATTTTTTTTTCAAAAACACCCCCAGAATCCAAATTTTCACCCATTTTTCCCAAAATCAATTTTCAATTAAATTCAAAAAATAATTTTATCCTATTTTATCATTATTATTATTTTTATTTTTATTAAATTAAATTAAATTGAATTGAATTAAAATCTTATAAGTTAAATATATAAAAAATTAAACTAAAATTCAAATACGAAAATAAAAATAATAATTTAGGTGTTACAGATCGCTCGCATGGCCTCCCGTATGGCACCGACGCCTGCGTGCCTTGCTACGTGGCATGCTCCGGTTCGTCAGAACTGCTAACTGGGTGGTTTTACGTGACTAAATTTCTCTATTTGCACTTTGATCATCTATTTCTAATTTTTTTAAAAAAAATATTTAAATTTTCAATCTTTTTTTTTAAATTACTTTCAATTATATTTTTATCTATTTTTTTAATAATTTAATAAAATTAAATAATTAATTTTTTTATTTATTTAATAAAATATTAAAATTAATTTCAAACTAAATTTCATATATTACATACGAATACTTCAACAGATTAGGTGTCAAGACAGGTCAGGCCACTTGGTCACATTTGCTTATAAATAATAATACATAAATCAATTCGACTCAGAATTCACAATTAATTACAGTTGGCAAAGATTTTTCCTTGGAGCATCCAATTTTTAAATTTTCAACAAAAGAAAAGTGATAAGAGGCCCCTTAGTCTACCTAGGCTTTTATGGCCTTGTTATTTTTTGTTGACTTGTAATATTTTCATAGGCTATTTTTTTTAATTGTTTATTTATGTCGTCAGCAATTCTTATAAATTTCTTTCTGTTTTGAATGATTTGGTTATGTAAGACAAACGTCATAATAGCTAATTTAAATTTATAATTAAATTTACTTAATTACCAACATAAAAATAATAACTAATTTAATTTTAAGGAAAATAAATAAAAAAAATTAAATATATCATCTTAAAAATTATCTCAAATGATATAATATTTTATTATAAAATTTAAATTCGAATCCAATTTTATAAAAATAAATATTAATATTTATTGATCATATTCTTATATATTATTTAACTATTAAAATTGTTTATATAATAATTTAATTATTGAAAATTACATTGGCCCACCATGGCAAAACTTTTCCATTTACAATGTCTATATTTTAATTATTAAAATAAATATTAAATTATTTTTATTGACATAACATAATTATTTTTCGTAATATTAATAAAATTTTATATATTCAAAATGATGATATAAAAAAATTATTATTATTCTTCAATTTTTTTTTGTTAATTTAAATTGAATTTGAAAATATCTTATTTTAAAATAATTCATATTTATTACGAAGAATTTATATTTATTTCACGAGATATTTTATATTTATTTTAAAAAATATTTTATATATATCTTTAAAAAATTTATATTTTTATATTTAAAAATTTACGATTCTATTAATTATTATATTTTAATTATAATATAAAAAGTTTTTATTAATTGTATATCATCAAATTATGTTAAATTTTATATTTTTTATATTTTATTATAATTATACGTGATTTAAAAATTAATTTTTTTCGTATTTTTTTTAAATTCATTACATAAAAAATTATTGTTAAATTGCCTCATTAAACTCTTAACATAATAATAAAAAATTTACAATCAACAAATTAATGGTCCGCCTCTGTCGGCGTAAAAAATAATCATTGGAAAATATCTGGAAATCACAATTGACATTTAGGTCCTGGTGGGACCCACCTTATCTCTTAGATGAGATATTTTCTACGTGCCCGGGCCCCACCCAAATTTTGAATCACTCACTCTCTTCACTCTTTGATCGATCTCACATTTTTCAAATCTTTTATCACTATTTAGCAGTGCATTATTGTGTTTGATTCTTTGTTAATCCGTCAAAAATGGAGAGTGAGGCTCTGAGGCGCAGGCTCAACACGATCGCTTCTCACTTTGCTCACTGCGATGATTCCAGATCCGCCACAAATGTCCTCCCACTGGTAAGGAACTTCTTTGAATCTCTGCTTGATTCTCGGGAAAATGCAAGAAAATCGAAAGAAAGTGTCAGAATATTGGATCTTGGATCTTAGTGTATACTGTTTTTGGTTAACTGGCTTAAGATTCACTCGGCATTTCATTCGAGCTGTTTATTAGGCTACACTCGTTTCTTTTTCTTTTCTTTCTTTGTGTGTGTTTTTTTTTTTTAATCAGTGAATACTCTTCTTGGATACTAACTTTTCCTTTTAATATTCTGATTATCTTTCTCTTTCTTTGTTTCTTTTTTTTTTTTTTTTGTAATCAGTGAATACTTCTATTGGATACTAACTTTTCCTTTTAATATTCTGATGATCTATGCAAGAAACTCAGTAGGAAAGTGATTCGTCTTGTTTCTAAATAATTTAAATTGATTTTTAATATTTTTTGGCTGGTGTTCGGTAGCTAATTATAATACAGTTTTGTAGTTTTTTTTTTTTTGAAGAAGAAACATTAGTTTTTTTAAGCACTCGCCTGTAATTACATGTATAGATGCGTCTGTGTTCGGTAGCTAATTATAATACGGTTTTGTAGTTTTTTTTTTTTTGAAGAAGAAACATTAGGTTTTTTAAGCTACTCGCCTGTAATTACATGTATAGATGTGTGTGTGTGTGTCTATATATATATATGGCTAGTTGTGATTTATTTAGCTTGAATTTTCACCTGATCTTGTTTATAAGTGCATCAGATAAGTCCAGCAGATAAGTGTAAAAATCCTTTAAAAGAATTAAAAGAGTGTTATGCAAAATGACAAAAAAAAGAAAAAACAAATACATGGCAGTGAAGTGTCACAGAAAACACATGCATTTAAATATAAATCTTTATAGTTCTAGAAATTTTTTTGATTTGTTTCAAACATAATGGGAAAAATAACTGTCATCAAAGACTTGATCTATGTAATCCTTGGCGGTATCTCAAGTGGCTCTCTGGATGGTCCCTGCTTCAAATTCAGGACAAACATGAAAACGGACTTCTCCTAAAATTTTGTAGGATCTGCGTGATGACATGGATTTGGTGAAATGGAAACCACGTAAGTCAATTTGCATAAAACTGACCAATCACTGCCTAATTGGCTAAAAAGGGCTCATCAACATGATGGAGGCTTTTCTACTTTTCTTCAATACTTTGGCTGCAAATGGAAACTATATCTGGCTATGCTATTAGTTAAATGCATTTCCTTGTTTGGTAAACTTGAAACTCAAAGAGAAAAATAAATGAAAAACAAGAAGAGAACTTGAACTTGAACTTGATACAATGTTAGATTAGTTAATTTAGCCAATATTGCTCCCTACAGAAAAACAGCATGTGATAATCTTATTCACTTTGTGAAACCAAGAAAAGTTAATCACCCTTAATTTACTTATTTAGTTTACAACAACATAACCCGATACAGGAGAAGGCAGCTCCAATGTTTACCGATCCAAAGGTCGTATATTATTCATTTGGTTTAAAATTCAATTTCATGAGGCTCCTTTTACATTTTCCAATAAGAAGAATATGATTTTCCTGTAATGAATGACCAAAATGAATAGGTATCAAGCTATAACTATGTCATTAGAGTTCTTCTGTCCTTGACATATCGAGTTCTCTTTTCAGTTTTTTCCTCATTTTTTTACATTTAATTTACTGACATTTTTGTTCATTCGATTCTTAGAACTGCAGCAGTAGTTTAAATTCTGTCATCCAAAGGTGTGATAACAGAATGTACTTTGCACGCCAAGCATCTGCTACCCAGAGTTGTTTCATGAGACAGGCTTCAAGCGAACAGGTTGCTCCACGTACCCCATATGTTATCTGTGAATGAGCTAGCCTACTAGAAAAAGTAGCTACTTTCTATTTATAACCCCTTGTGTATTTTTCAATGTCTGGTGCTGATCTTCTGTTGCTCTCTGATGGTTTTTGCTTTTTGAAAAGACTTTCCAAAGTATCCCAAAGTGCTATGGTACCACACTGGATAAGTGGTGTAATGCTACAGAAGAGCCATTATTTTCTAGACCTGCAAGGTTGGCACCAACATTCTCAAATACTGCAGCAACCAAGACTTTGGGACAGGATTGCAGATCACTTACATCTGACCTTCCTAAGTTTGCTAGACCAGATACAAGCAATAAAGATGGAGCAAGGCAATTTTGTTCAGAGGAGAAGATATATTCATCTGAACCTAATGGTTGGTAGTTTTGTTCTCTTGATATTTGAGAAGTTGATATATAGAAATATATATTTTGAGAACGTGATATCTAGAAATATTTGCTCCACGAAGAGAGAGGCTCTTGTGGTACTGAGGTTTTTCTGATATGTGCAAAGCATAGACATTTGAAATAAATATACGCACATAATTTTTCAGTTCACAGAATTGTGACCATGCTAGCAAATTAACCATGCAGCCTAGGCCAAACTTCATTTCCTTGAAAAGAAAGTTGTCTAGAATGCAGCAAGATTTTTGATAGTTGGTAGTTTCTCATGCTTGTTGATCTCTTTCATCATCGGTAATCGTAAGGGTGAATCACAACTTTGTTTTTCTCTTTTCACTTTATTGGTGATCTTGATATCAAGAGATAAACTCCTTCACTCTTCCATTTATATTTTATGCAGGAACCAAATGGTCCCCAAGGATGGATGTTGCAGAATCTGGACGAACTTATGTTATGACAGTAGAAATCCCAGGGGTCAGCATCACTGATATCAGGGTAGAGGTTGATGATCAAAAGTAAATACTGTTTCCGAATATTTTCGATACTTCCTCTCCCCCCTCCCTCTCCCCCTCCTTTTATGTGTAAGCACCTTAATGTTTAAGAGAAAATATGTGTACATGGATATCAAGTGTATCTAAATTCATACATTTCAGAATTAAATTTCATGAGTAGCACTTCCTATTTCTTCATCAACTATCTCTCAGTCCAGTCTTTTGAAACTGGAAAGTTGATTGCTTGTCTGATAAATCTATTTCCTGGCAGATTGATTGTGAGTGGTCAACGTTCTACCCAGTGCTATAAGGTAACAGGTTTGTCAAATGATTCAATCTCTGCATATCATAAGAAAGAGATTGTGCGAGGGCCTTACCAGGTTGTGTGGCCACTTCCAACTAATGTGAACAAGGACAGTATTTATGCAGAGTTTCTGTAAGTCATAGTTCTGTCTTATTGTTTCACTTTATCTATACAAAATATGATAGCATGAGTTTCAAAATTTCTACTGATTGCATATATCATCTTTTGCAAGCTTTGGCACATATCAAGGCCAGAAACTCATGAACATGCACAAAAACACAGTGTACTTATATAAACAAGCACATTTTGCAAATGGATCTTTTGAAGTCTGTAATTTTGATATTTCAAAGTTTAAAAAACTGCATGATTGTGCCTAAATATTTCTGTGTTTTATGTTTATAACCACCTTATCCAAGGTTGAACTCACTGGCTGGACAATTTTTGTAGGAGGTAGTGTTCATGTGATCTTTTTACCTTTTCTTGTGAGCTTCAAGAAAGTGTGATAATTGGGATGATTGTCTGGGTTTTTCATGTACTGCAACTCAGGGTCCTTATCTGTTATATGTGTTGCCGAATGAATCGAGTCTGGTACAGTTGAGAATTTACTTTATTATGTTTTATGCTGAAGGAAACTGATATTGATTTCTGGTTTTGGTGCAGGGATGGATTTCTTAAAATTATTGTTCCTAAATTTTGAGGTTTATCGGTGGCAGAGGATTCAAATGTTTGTGGGTCTATGCATGAGAATTTCTATACATGCTGCTAAGGAGACGATGCTATACATATTGAGTTTTTATATATACATATTCATGCTATAGAATAACAAAGTCATGAACTATCTGTCATGGCTTTTGTTTACATGTAAAATTTGAACCCAGGGCCTTGAAGTGAATGATGTTAAAGAACTAGTGAAATATACATGTGAAGAAGTCCTTTTAAGGTGAGATTGTATTACCTTATATGATATAGCTATTCAGGTATAAAGTATATTTCATGATAAATAGTAATATTATTTTAGAATTACCATATATATTCCTCGTACAATTAACTTTGTTGGTTCTGTAGCGCACAGCTTCTCATGGCTCCCTACTAGCAGTCTCATAATAGGTAACTCCTTTTCTTATGGCTAGTTAAGGCAAATACTTCCATTTTAAGGTTCTGAGTTGTGAATGTACCTGAACTATATTAGTGCTAAATTTGGGTTCAGCTGTATTTCCTTAGACGCATGAATCTGAATTTTTTGCAATTGGTAAGAACTTATTATATTCAATACAAGGAAAATTGTTAAATCTTTAGGGTGGTAGAAATTAAGGATGATTCCCTAGGAAGTCTTAAAATATACGGATGTAATATGTTGAGGAATGTAGGGAACTAATTAGTCTCTTCTTCCTCAGTCCTTAGGGGTCTCCCATCCACAAGTCGTTTCCAACGAGTATCAAAGTAACGTTTAAGCTTCCATGGCTAATGACACTAAACTTGTGTCTTCAAAACTTGATCGAGAATAAATGATCGAGCAATCCGGACCTACTAACTAAAATTATGGATTTAAATTTCCAACATACTGAGTTTTGATAAATCAACTTAATGAGATTTGTCAAGTTAGTTTAAAACAGAATGTAATTCCAACAGGAGCCATAGGTCTGGCCTCTCTAGATTCACCAAATTTAGAGTTTCCTTGCTTCGATGGCACTGACGATATTTCATGAATCTATCATTATAACAAATGTTTTAGGTGGATGAGACTCTCGATGAAGAAAAATCTAACCTTGCATCTTATTGTATATTCAATGCAAGTTAGGTCAGTTGAGTGAATTTATTTCTTATCAAGTACCTATAGACTTGCTCATATAGGAATCGTACAAGTAATAAATCATAATAACTATATTTTATAATAATAAGTGAACTTTTTTTTCGCTCTTTTGGATGGAGAACAATTAAGTAAACTTAAATGCACAAACCAGACTCAAATTTGTTGGTACGGTGAATATACATTCAATATATGTATATATATATATATATTTATATATACTTAAGGTGCTAGATATATGTGTCTTGTTTGGGAGAAGATAGATGTAGTATTTAACCAATATGAGGAAAAGGAGTGTGTTTCACAAATCCATGGTGATCAACCCAGACACGGACCCTATCACAACGAAAATCCATGGTTACCATCATTCCTTCCTTCACAATCACAGAACTTTAGGGTTTTCTCTCATAATGATTGCTGCTGCAACTTCTCCTTTCATCCCAACCAATTCTGGCCACGAACTTTTCCCGCTTTCTGTTCTTAAAAAACATGCATAATTAGTAATCTAATTATATCTTAATATTAAAAATATCCAAGACTTTATATATATATATATATATGTATTTACATACTGCTTACCAGGGCAAACATCATCCATTATCTTTGAGTATATATGAGAACGTATGAATAGAAAATGAAAAATGTAAAAGGGAAAGCCTCCTCGTGGTCTAATCTTATGTAAGTATATACATATATATATGTGTATATTATATCAGATTATATTTGACTTTGATAAGAGGAAGTAGATAATGTTAATGAATGTTAATTTGAATGGCCATGGCCACCAAATTTGAAGCTCTGAAGTTGGTGGCTTGGCCGTTGAATTAAGGATATAATGAGATTAAATGAAGAAAATTGAAAACCTTAATTTCAACTCTTCCAGTTGTCAAAGGTTATATAAATTTTAAAAGGGCAAGTTTCTGTCATCCATATTATAATAAGTATTTCTTCTTTTTCTAATACTTAGAATATACTTTGATACTTTATTAATTATTATAAATAGATTTATCACCTAATTAATTTCATTTAATCTTAAATAAATAAAAGTCAAAGTATAATTTGCACTATTTTAACATTGTCGCTACATTGAAGTTACTCGTAAAAAAATAGCTTTTAGTATTTTCCTCTCTCTGTGTTAATATCTTATGTACTTTACCCTTCTAAAATCTGTATGGTTCAATTTGGAATTTTAGTTAAAATTGAAAAATTCGATCAAAATTAGTTATATGGTATAACCAAACAAATATCAACACAATATTTTTTAAATTTCAAAAATTAAAAATTAAAAAAATATATATATCCTTTTTAAAAAATAATAGTCTGTACTTTATCCTTCTAAAAAGACTTCAAAAAAAAAAAAACAAGAAAAGCATAATGATTATTAGATATTAGAGGCAAAATAGTAGAAGATATGATTGAGAAGCCACTTCGATGCTAATCGAGTGATGGGTAGCAAATGTAACATGATGAGTTTACTTCAAAATCATGTTGGGAAATGAAAAATCTTTGAGGATCTTCAGGATAATCTAATGATCTGCAAGTTGTGACTATGAAGTTTGTGGAATACTACCAGTTAAATTCTAAAGATTAAGTGAAGGGATTTGCTGTTTAAATTCACTGCTAACATTGCAATAGGCAATAACATCAGATATAATATATATATATATATATATATGCAGCAATTTAGATCTGAAATAAACTCTATAAGACACAAGCCAATTTAAAATTCTTCATATTAACTGAGACATATAGGTAGAATTGGGTTGGTTGCATAATGGGAACTTAAAGCCACAAGAAGTCAATAAATAGCAACAAGAACAGAGGATAAAAAAAAATCAAGAACCTCTAAATGTCAAACCATAGCTAAATCAATCCTTTTCTTTCATCTTTTTCTTTCTATTGAACATGGATGAGCAACCGTACGTATGCAGCTAGCAGTCTATGGTGATCTAAAACAAAAATAATTAAATAAATACATCAACAAAGGAGACTTGTATAAACACACACACATATATATATATATATATAGACACACACGTGCACGTATGTCATTCAAAGAAGCCGGCTTTGTGCAACTATTCAAATACAAAACTTGAAAACCAAGCCTCCTCAGTTCTATATATACCTTCCTATGCTCCCAGCAAAAACATCACTTCTTACCTATATCATCAAATCCAAAACAAGGCAAAGAGCTTTCTTCACTAAGGAAACATGTCATCTGAATGTTCAGGTATATATGGCACCTTAACCAAACAATTCAATATATTCCTTCCTTTTTTCTAAAGTCATTATATATTATGAAAAAGTTATCCATACACTACTGTAGATCCTTGTGTTAAAAACATTTGAGTTATATACAAGTATATACATATATAAACCACTATGTATATATATATATATATATATATATATATATGCTTTTGCACATTCCTCCATGTAGAACGATGAGAATACTCTTACCCAAAATTGGAGTTCCAACAAATTTATGAATTACTATAGTTAAATCATATTATAAAAATATCTAACTCCTAATAGATGTCCATACTTATCAATATGAGGTTCCATCTTTTTAACACTTGTCATCTTACTTCATATAAAACATGTACTCAACATACTAGAGAATTGATTCTCATATATTCTTACCTAACA